AAGGCTACATATACCAAAAAGAAAAACTAATTTAAGCTTAAATTTGAAAGAAAAAGATGGATAAATATACCTTAACACACACAAACAATTCTCTGAGGACAATTTACAGTATTTCTAAGCTCATTTAATATCATTTTACAATCATCAGACAAAAAGTGTGCGTAATGTACAATATTATTGCCTTAATGAAGTATTTAGAAGGAAAATTCATGTTGCATATTTTTTACTGCAATGATAGTCCATTATTTCTAATTGTACAGCTTTGCTTATGAGATAGTACTCATAAGCAAATTGACTTTTTAAAAAATTATATGAATTCTCATTTTATCAATTTTATATTCATTTTGAAGACTAGATTTCTGGTGTACTAGTAAGTTAATGCCTAAAATGTTAACCAAAAGATTTATATATTCTGCTGAGTACAATTTCTTTAAATAATGTGATGACTGTGATTTGCAAGTTCTCTTCAAATCTCCAGTATCCTCAAGGTCCTAAATGAAAAGTGTGATTTGACTAGGACTCACAAATAAAGAGAGTCACTCACAAGATTGATGGCTACCATTTTTATAAAGAGTTAATATCTGATGACAAATTATTATTGGTTAAATCAACTTCCTCTTTTTTCTAAGTTTTTCTTGATGGGAAAATTTTTACTATAAAAATTATACCTTGTTGTAAGAAGAAATTATAGAGTGATATTCTTGTAACAATCATACTAAAATGTGTGGTTAATCATGGCCTAACGACCATATTCAAATGTGATAATCTACTACAATGACAATAAAAATGGCATCACAAAGCCCCATATAATGCTACAAAATCAGAATTAAATGAGACTCAACAAAGATTGTGGGGGAAATGCATCATTGTCGTAGTCGTCGTCATCATCATCATCATCATCATCATCATCATCATCTCAACAATAATAACTAATTGTAAATATTTATTGAGCTCTTATATGGCACCAGACACTGTTCTAAATTATTTACAAGCATTATCTCATTTAATCCTCAAGCTGATGCTGCACAGTAACTCAGAGACAGACCCTTCTGGAAGCTGGAGAGAGGGTGCCAAAGGTCTTGGTTCAGGGCATTGAGACATAACCCGCTTTCTCTCCCAGTGAGGACAGGGCCTGAAATAGGGTTTCAAGAGGCTAAAAGCCCAGTGTTTGTGAACATTACCTTAAACGAAGGATATAAGCTGTTGATTCTAATTTCTTCTGGAATGTTGATGGAAGCTCGAAAAGACTTGTGACAGCTATAAATCAGATGTCTTCCATCCAGTCTGGACAGCCAATGTCACAGAGAGCTCTATGCCCCTCAGAGAACCCAGGGCCCAGGAAAATCAGCCCTAAGGCATGTTTTGGAGAGCTACTCCAGTTCCATCAAGTTCCATGTGCTTGGATACACTAATTAGCAACTTACAGAGGTATGTCTATAATACCTCTTCTTGTCAGACCATAACCCCTGAAGCAGGGTGGATAGGTTCTATTACTATTTCCACTGCAGATGATGAAACAGACACAGGGAGGTTAAGTCACTTGCATAAGACTATATGGATCATAAGCTACAGTTCCAGGGGAGGAAAACCATAGAATCATAAAAGTGTATCCATTTGCATAAGTCATACCATTATTCACAACAGCCAAAGGTAGAAGCAATCCAAGTTTTTATTGATGGGTGAATGGATAAACAAAATGTGATGCACACATACAGTGCAATATTATTATTTAGCCTTAAAAAGGAAAGAAATGCTGACACATACTACAAAATGTATGAAACTTAACTAAATGACATTAACTAAGTGAAATAAGCAAGTCACGAAAGGGCAAATAATGTATGGTTCCACTTATATGAGGTATCTACAATAGTCAAATTCAAAGAGACAAGAAGTAAAATTACGGCTGCCAAGGGCTAGGGAACAGGCAATGGGGAGTTACTATTTAATGTGTATAGAGTTTTAGCTGGAAATGAAAAGTTCTGTAGATGGCTGGTGCTGATGGCTGGTTGTACAACAATGTGGCTACTTAATGCCAGAGAACAGTATACTTACAAATGGTTAAAATGATAAATTTTACTCGTATGTTGTATATATTTTACTACAATTTTTAATCAAGTTTTTCCTACTTAAATCTTTGTATGACTCCTGGTCTTCAGATGGTGTGTATAGCTCTGATAATACAATATTAGAATTCAAATAGTTCATCTTAGTGATGAGATGTACTCAGTAAAAGATTAAAACAATAAAATAGAAATAATATACTCCAATGACCTATTTTTTTTTTTTTTTAAATCTGTCCCAGAAATAGAAATTAAGTTGTTCATTCTCAAATATTTACTGAAAACCTATGTTTGTTGCTAGGGATTCAACAATGAGGAAAAACAGATATAATAATACATTAATGAATATTACAAGCTGACATGTGGGGAATGGGAAGGAGAAAAACAGACATTAAGCAGATAATCACAAAAATGAGTATTTAATTATAAACAACTAACATGGAGGAACATAGTTGGTTCTCTGCATGAGCATATCACAAAGTAGCCTGCCCCAGACTGATGGATTAGACAAGATTTTTAAAAAGACTGGAGTTACCTTGGTGGGGCTGTGAGAGTATTCAGGCAAACGGAACTGGACATGCAAAGGTCCTGTAGCAGGAGGCAAACCATGGAACCAAAGGAAGGATACAGCCTGGCTAGAGCCCAGAGGACACAGAGGAAAGTGTGGGCAAGGGACTGGAGAAACAGTCCAGGCAAAATCCCCTAGTATTGTTGACTGGTGTGGGTGTTGTTGTTTTTACCCTAAATGCAATCAAAAGCCACTGAAAGGATATAAGATAGGAAACAGCAAAATCAAAGTTGCATTTTTAAAAGATCACACATAATATAGGAATTAGAGAGGTTTCAGGATAAAATTTCCTCTCTACTAAATCAACACATCCTGACCTTTCCCAGAATCAGACTTAGCACTGGGAGGCCTAAGTTTCTAGTCCTGATTCTGTCACTAATTAACACTCCGGTGTGGGGTGAATTTCCCGCCAAAATATAAGATGGCTCTGTCTTTTGGTTTTGTTCCATCCACCAAAAGGGTGGATTACAAACAAATATTTGGTAATACGCAGTTACAATCGGCCCGAGTTTACACGTTTCCCGCACTCCACCGCAAATCTATATGAACCGAGTTAAAGACGGCTCCCGCGGAGTACGCGCAATTCACGCGAGCCGACTTAACTCGTTTCCCCCACTCCAAGTGTTAAATGTGAATCTTTATATAAGTTACCTCACCATTATCTCTAATACAGTCTATCCTAGATGACTTCTTAAGCCCCAAACAACTCAAAAAATTCTTTTTCTGGTATCTTACCTTCCAAATTTAGTCCTCAGAGTCCAGGCAAAAGAGAAATCCAGTGTCTACACAATTACCTATTCTCTGAGACTGAAGCTTTGCCCCAGCCATACCTCCCTAACAATGTACATGGCACTCCACCCTCCAGCCATGTGGGTGTAGACAACAAACCTGAAGTAACAGGCTAGAACATCCACCAACTACTACTTACTAACCACCTCAAGGTTTACTTTGTTCTAAGGAACTTTGTTTCCTCAAAGGGGTGGAGGAAAAGTCAATGTAGTTATTATTGTAAACTGATGATTTTTTCCTTTGCATATTGTACAAAATACACTTTACTTTTCTTTTTTGTGTTCCACATCACTTTTTAATGAAACAAGGGTGAAATCTATGAAGCCTCCATGGCTTCAATACTCTAATAATTATAAATCTTATTATATACCTTAGACTAGCAGTGTTTGAAATTCACAGTCTAGCTATGAGGAAGTTAGACCTAGCAATCTGCTGGTAGATTAAGTACCTGCTCCTAAAAAATTACTGGTGATTTGACAAGTGGCATACATTGATTGTCTTGGATAAATGGATGTGTCAGGTTAGGAGTGCTGAAAGCCCAGCTGCAGTCCTCACAGGAAAAACCACAAGAAAACCAACTGACAGGCTACCCAGGTTCCTGCAGTTCCCCAGCCCTGCCCTCTCTGCACTGGGAGGTCTTCAGATGCATGGTCTGGTCACCTGATGGAGAAAGGTACTACCTGATCTCTTACAGGCCTGCAAACACTGAAAGAAAAGAAAGAACTTGACTCTCCAAATTCACCTGAATGAGAAGTCAATTTTCATTTAAAGGCACAAAACAACTTAGCCTTTCACATGTTCTTTTTGGAAAACAATCAGCAAAACTCCTGTTATCAACATATTAATAATCAATTTTTAACCAGTCCCACTCATTTTTCTAGAAATGCCTCAGGATCTTATATTTTAACATCAAAGTGGAAGGCCTGACACAGCTGGGCAAACAGTATTAAAGATGCAGATCATAGCATCTGAATAACAAAAGGCGATTTCTTCCTACTTTCGCAACTTCTAAAAGATGTCAATTTCATGGCACCAAAAACATAATTTCAACACAAGAACAACATATAGAAAGAGTCCAAGTAAAGCTGAACTTAGAGTAGGTAGAGCAGGAAACCAAGGCATTTAAATGTTGCAGATTTTCTTCAGTGCTGCCTAATCCAAGATAGATAACAATAATAATATTTAAACCCAAGCCATTTTAGTGAGAACGAAACAGAAGACTAATCTGGTAGCGAGAACTCCTCAGTAGGAATCAAGAACAGATCCAAATCCTATCTCTGAAACCAGTTGTATAAACAGACCAAAACAGAATTTCCTGAGCCTGAGTATACTTCTGCTAAAAAAATAATTAACAATTATAGTAATAAATAATTTAGGATATTAGATGTAATATAAAAGTGACCTCCAGACTGCTAAATACTAAAGAAACAAAAGAGATGGAAACACTGGAGGATCTGAAAGTACCTGCCTAGAAGGAACATAAGAGCCAAGATATGCTCTCATGTCTACAACACTGCTATTTGGGGCTTAAAATTAAACAAGTAGCAGCAGAAAGAACCCTAAAATTTCAAAAAGCATCTTACCAGGGTGATGTCTCGGGAAGCTGCAGCTGCGCTCATATGCAAACTAGGCTGCCGTACAGAACTGCTGCAATCAAGGGCTCGAGCGAATGTCCCAACAGCACTAAATAAGCCACAAAAACAAAGAGGGAAAATCAAGACTCTGTTATTTCTTTTATATTTAAAGAAACACATTTTGGTAGTGAATGAAAAATCAAGTTCTTGGATGTTTGAAAATCAAGTACCAAATAAAAATAGTATTTTCTATAAAATTGAAGAATTGACAAGCCAATTTACCATATGAGTCATTACCATTAAATTAAAAGAAAAAGTAGGTTGTGAGGCATAAAGGAGGGAAAGATCTATTTTGAAATGCCACAGAGTAAACAATTTGGCATTCAAATGTGCTAAAAAATGAGAATTAAATTAGCTAGAATTCAACTATTACTGCAAAGCAAGTTCTGACCCCCCTTTTTTTAGCCCAAATTGTGAAATCCCAGTAACATTTTTTCTTGAAATATGGTCAACCTCTTCTTATGAGGCCTCAATATATATTTCCATTTTTAAGAATTACCACACTGATTATCGTATGATTTAGAAAGACTTCCTACATGTAACGAACCCTAACTTCAAGAAATAAAGCATGAAACGACAATGACTTGCTCCTTGTCTCTCTCTCTTTTAAACATGTTAGCTAAGAAAAAGTTTTTAAAAGGTTGTAATTAAACTATAACACGTGAACAAAAAAGTACACATTGTACAGCTATGCAGTTATGGCAAAGTGAATGCATCCATGTCACCAATATCCAGGGTCAAGAAACAAAGATGACAGCACCCTACACTACTCCCTCTCTCCCTCTTCCTCCAAAAGAACCACTATCCTGGATTCTAACACTACACACATTTTGCTCATTTGGGAACTTAAATAGAACCAAATACTATGTACTCTTTTCGTGTCCATCTTTTTTTGTTCAGTTATGTTTGTGGATTCACACATGTTGCTAGCTGTAGCTGTGTTCATTCATTCTCCTTGCTGTGGCGTATCCTCTGCATGATGCTCCCCCTCCTCCCGCGACTCTACTGATGATGGATATTTGTTTCCAGTTTGGATAGTGATATTCATGCCATCTGCATATGGGTCTTCTGGTTAGATGATAACAGTTTACCAAAGCAGCTATATCAACTCATACTCCCACCAGTAGGATGAGGGAGGGAGAGAGGAAGGAAGGGAGGGAGGGAGGAAGGGAGGGAGGTAGACAGTGATGTGAGAGAAAAACATTGATTGGCTGCCCTCGCTACCCTCCCCAAAAGGGATCAAACCTACAACCCAGGTATGTGTCCTGACCAGGAATCGAACTGGCAACCTTTTGGTGCACTGGATGACGCTCAACCAACTGAGCCACTCTGGCCAGGCTCAACTTTATTTTTGAGATTTCTCTCTTTGCTACATATAACTCTAATTCATTCATTTTAATTGTTGTAAAGTAATATTCCATTTAAGTATTATTGCTTGCTGATGTACTCTTAGTTTTTTTCTAATTTTTCTATTACAATGCTATGATAATCTCATTTCCCTTCTGCTTTGCAGGAGGAATTTAACCAGGGACCTCTTGATTCATGGGTTGACACTCAACCACTGAGCCACACCAGCCAGGCAAACATCATTTACTTTTATAAATAAAACAATAAAAATAAATTTCTATCCCATTCATTTTATCAAGAAAACAGGAAAAGAGGTCAGGTAGAGAGGAAGGAAGCCAGTTTGGCAGCCAGGCTTAGAGCTCTCAAAGGAAAGCCATATGCTCAGCAGTAGGCCTTCCCCATGCATGGGTGCAGGTAAGAGGAATTTGAGGCACGCATTATTCTTGACACATGACTAATCACTGCTTTAAATTAAAGACATGGGATTTTAGGAGTTGAATGTCCTCTTTATACTTTTGTGCAGTGCTTACATTTTTACAAGGTGTGTTTATTTTTTAATCTATGAAATTTAATAAATCTATTTCATTTTTAAAACAGAAACTAATGATAATAAACCATTTTATTTAGGAAGTGGTGTGACATATATTAGGCTTTCTTACATAATTAAAAAAAATACAACCAATGAAAAAAGCAGAATACAAAGAAAGGAAAATATGTATAAATTATTTTATAGAGAGAAAGATGTTTTCACGCAATGTGTCATACTCACCGTGCTACAACTAAAAACTGGTCAATCTGTCGATCTGTAAGTGGGCTATTTGGGTCCCAAACTTTAACTTCCAATTTTGACTGTTCCCTCTCATCTGATTCTCCTGTCCGAGAGCAAGGAAAATGGAGTCTTATTACCCATAAGGCACATACACGGTCACATCTGACTGATGACGGCGGTAACCACAGCATTAAAAATGTAAGGTAAATGTTCATGGTTTTTTGGTACATTCTTTCAGACAGCAAATGTAGAACACTTTGTAAAGTGAACACTGATAAAAATGCAACCACACCATATGGTATTTTCATTTGTCATTTACATGTATTTCCTGAATACTTGTATGGGTGAGGCACTAAGCCTCATGCTAAGGGATATAAAAACAAAAAAGAAAGCACTCCTGCAGAAAGACACTTAAACTATAATAAAACTTACACATAAATAACTATGCTACAAATGAAAAAAAAACCCCAAAAACCCTAGATGTCATAAGAGACATACAGATATGGCTGTAGAGAAATCATTTCAGGCTAGTTAGGGAGTGAGGTCATGCAGTAGGTGGCATTTCTGCTAAGAACTGAAAGGTAAAGGAGTCCACTGGCAGAAGAACAGGACGTAAGACTCAGAAAGGAACATGAGCAAAGTCAAGGGCTCCCAAATGTGATTAGAAAAGTAGTTTGTTTCGTCAGGAGTACATTAAGGGGAATCAGGGGAGATAGCTAAGGAAGTGGACTATGAACATGTTACTGAAGATGCCACATAGATTTTCTGAAAAGGGAGGTAATGAGAAGCCCTTGCCTTTTTAGTAAGGGGGTGACAAGACCAGAATCAAACTTCTCATCTCACACTTAACAATGGTATGTAATTTGCTCTATGGATATACCCGATGAAGACAGAAACAACATGACATGGACAATGACAACAGACAGCAAAGGGAGATTTAGGAATGTCAGGGACAGACCGGAGGCAGCGGGTAGATTTCAAGCCTCGAAAACTATAGGGATGGTGCTGGCATTATCAGAAAGAAGACTGAGATAATGCAGGAAACTTTGTTTCAGGAATCGCTCACAAAGAGACATAACCATCAGGCAGGACTCAATGTGAGGACAAAGGATAGTAATGGGAAACAGATTTGGGAGTTGACTGAAATTTTGATTTACAGCTATGGATTTCCTATCAGGCTAGGAACTGGTGTTGGCTTTGTTTTGCTTTTGAATCACTCCAACTACAAAATCAGGCAGTGCCTTGCACTGACTGACATACTATGAAGCTAAACATCCCTGACAAGCTCAGGCTATGGGCTTCTAATGTGTTCAGTCCTGGTATAGGAGCAAGCAAGCATCAATGGCTCAAACAGAGAAAGAGGGAGGACAGAATCAGCCATTCTACCTGTAGTCTCCTAAGCCAACCACTGCTGTCAGGTTGGGGACTTGCCCATCCTGCCCCTTGTTCAAAGGCAGATAACCAGAGAGCCAACTGCCACCCCCAACACACAGAAATGCACGCAGAGTAGAAAGAGTACCGGGCCAAACAGATCTAAAGTGTTGGAAAGGATTTCATTTTTCACTGTTTACAATCCTCAGCATGCTGAGCCAAGACATTCAACATTAGGTTCATAGTTAAAAACAAAAAATTTGCAAACTGTGTAAAACTTGAGAAAGGAGAATGTCACATTTACACTTCCCTATATCTTCCAGTAATATATTTTAAGTAAGTTAAATAGTAATGGTAAAAAAAAAGATAGTAATGATGAAAATAAAAATTTGATATCTTAATTTTTAAATAATACCAGATAAAATGACAATGCTACTCAGTATTGCGCCCCTCTCTGTTATATACTCCAGAACGAAAGGGTAAAACTGATATTTAATTTTCAAATTCTAGTAAAATTGATATTTCAATCCCACCTATTCATTCTGCAGCACACAGCAGAAAGAGAATCCATATAAGAATTCTAAAATAAATTTGCTGCAAACAATAAGAAAACACTCCTGGATGCACTTATACTAACACCTAAGATACAGATTAATACCATGAAATGAGAACAAAAATAGCAACAACAAAATGAAGATAGAAATATCAAACAGTCACTCTAAACTAAATAAGGATTCCCCATTTTGGATTCAACATATAATAACATTTATATAACAGTTTGATCACTTCTTTACAATTAAAAAAAACTTTTAAGAAGCTCTTGAATAACCTTATTTGGAATCTATATAACTAAATTCTCAGCTAAGTGTAAGGAGTAGTCTTTAGAATGGTCTTGGCAACTGTAGTATGAGCCAGAGACTAGAGCAGCGGTTCTCAACCTGTGGGTCGCGACCCCTTTGGCGGTCGAACGACCCTTTCACAGGGGTCGCCTAAGACCATCCTGCATATCAGATATTTACATTACGATTCATAACAGTAGCAACATTACAGTTATGAAGTAGCAACGAAAATAATTTTTTGGTTGGGTCACATGAGGAACTGTATTTAAAGGGCCAGAAGGTTGAGAACCACTGGACTAGACCAAGATTAATTCCATGCTCTACTCATGTTCATTCCAGTCATTGCAATAATCTTACTTTCCTCCTCCATTTATGATCATCTCAAGTCCCACATCATCAAATCATCCAGTTCATGAAGATCTCCCTAATACCTGAATTCCCATGAAATGTATTTACCAACTAACTGTATGAATTGTATATTAGCATCCTATTTTGGCACCAAGCACAAAGGTCAATCAATCCTTTGTACCCTTAAACCCTGGACTAATGCTTCCGCCACTGAGATATAAGTCATGTGTACAGTTTCAACAAAATAAAAATGGAATTCAGGTTGCAGATGTTTTTGAACACAGGGAAATATCTTCATAAGCCCCTTCATCTATAATTCCAAGCTTCCCCAAAGTTGGGTGTTGTTTTTTTTCAACTACAATTTACTTTTAGTATTTTGCACTGGTTTCAGTTGTGTAATATAGTGTTTAGACAGCCATATAGTTTTAACACAGTAGAAAGTGCCACAGATTTTAAGGCCACTAAATCAGCCACTACTTGCACTAGAGGAAGACATTTCTGTAGAATGTCCATCTTTTTTTTTTCTCTTAAGCTCTCTGTGAGAATACATGCTTTCCTGATCGCGGGGGAAAGTCTTAGATGAACTAACCCAACTTCCACACCATAATGACATTTTCCTACTTACCTACTGCACATGAGCTAATTCAAGGTCTTAAAGCATATGTTGCAGCAGGGAGACTATACTAATGTAACTCTTTAACTCTCAAAGATGGAGCCTCCTGAAGTTCTCAAACACTGACAAAAGTATTGAACTAGTAGCAGCAGACAGTGGTGACCAGGGGAAAGCAACTGTAGTAGCTAACAATGTGTTGAGAGCTGTGCTAAATAAATTACTTCATTTGGTCATCACAACACTATTATACAGGGTGGAGCAAACATAGGTTTACAATTGTTCGTATGGAAAATAATACAATAATTAATAAATAATAAGAATAAGCTCTTTCACATACTCACAACTGTAGACCTACTTTTGCCCCCTATATATGTACATACATTATCCCCTTTTTAAAGGGGAAGAAATGGGAACTTAGAGGCGTTGAACAGTTTTTCCAAGGTTATTCAGTAAAAACATAGCACAGCCAGGTTTTACCCAAACCTGTGAATCCACTCATTGTAGTTTAATAATTTAATGTTATTATACTTTTTAGCAGCCACAATTTTAATTTAATATGTAAATAGATTTCTTTCTTAAATGTTCAGTTTTACAACACAGTGAATTAATAATTCAAAAATTTGCACATTATAATATCTTTTTCTACAGAAAATTCTCTAGGTGCTTTATTCAAACTCAATAAAAGATTTAAAATCTCAAAGAACCCTTTACCTTCCTTTGCAAACTACATACCAATCCAAATATTCAAGAGTATGTTAGATGGTGAGCAGTCATAAATGAATTTCAAAACTCTAAAGTCACAAAAAGATTTATTCCCTAGCAAGACAAATGCCACAACAGTATCTTAGAATCCATCAAGATATGTACACAAAGAATGTAAGCCTATAATATATTCTGACATGGTGCTGATGTTGCCACCTCCTCAGGATATTAATTCTAGTTCTGCAACCCATGCCAGTGCAAACTGGAATCTGGCCACTGATCAAATGTACCCACTCAAAAGCATCAAAGTAAATATCTGTTCTTTTCCTAAAAACTGTTTTTATTGATTTTAGAGAGAGGGGAAGGGAGAAGAGAAAGAGAAACATCAATGACATCGATCAGCTGCCTCCCACATGCACCCCAACCAGAAATGGAGCCCACAACCTGGGTAAGTGCCCTGACCAGCAATCGAACCAGTGACCTTTCAGTGCACAAGTTGGCGCTCAACCAACAAAAAGAGCCACACCGGCCAGGGCCATAAATATCCTTTCTCGAATATGATGTTTTCTACTATTTAATTTCCCTGCAAACAGGTACTAGCTATATATGGAAGTTTCTATGATGACAATGTCCATGTTTTTCAAGTGTGGTTTAACCACTGACATACCTATTTGCAGCCCAACACCCTCTCCCTTGACAAAAATATTAATTCGAAAAAAGGAGTTCTTTAAATCTTGTATCTACTAGTAATTGACTACCTATTTATAACTGAAAAGAAACATTTAGTATATGCTAAATGCTTTCAGCTGAAATAAGAATCTAAAGTGACTTCTTCAATTATATGAAAAATATGGTGTTTTTCTTTGTTAAAGTTGAATACTTACAAATAAAGCCAATAAATTATAGACTTAAAAATAAGCTTACCAAGTAATACACAAAACTACATGACTAAATCTTTTTTTTTTTTAACTCCCACAAGACCCAAAAATGGCCTAAACAAAGGGCAAGACATCTCTTGTTTCTGGTTAAGATGTTTTAACCTCATCAAAATGTCTGTTCTCCTTAAAATAATTTAAAAATTAATGGCAAACCCCAATAAAAATAGGAAGATTGTTATTTTTCCTCTCTGGTGTTAGTCAAGCTGATAATAAAACTCATTTCGAAAAATGATACAGCGACTATCCTCACCAGATATTAACACATATCCCAAAGTCTCTATAATTAAAACAGTGAGTTACTAGAGCAGGAACAAATAGACCAGTGGAACAGAACAGAAATCTCAAAAGCAGACCCACATACTGCTCAATATTATGAAATGATCAATCACCTTCCAACGTAATATATAATGTTAATACAATTTCAATCAGAATCCTAATAAATCTGGAAGAGAAGAAATTGACAAATTGTTGATAAACTACCACAGTAAGGGGGGAAAAATCTTAAGAGATGCGATCTCTCCACTAAGAAATTTTAAAAAACAGTAAGGGAAAACTTGCCCTGTCATAAAACATATAAGAGATAGATAAAGTAAAGTTGGATCTCTAACACATGAAACTTTGCTTGGAATATACTTTTATGGGTCTCTATAGAATATTTATGTAACAGTCTGGGAGAATATGTTAAATTAATAACAGTGGTTAACAGTGACTTAGAAGGGATGATCTGAGGTACTACTATTTTTATTTCCAGTGTAATTGCACCATTATCTTCCACAATTCCTATTTTTTGCAATAAAATAATTTTAAGATTTTAAAAAAATGGGCAGAAGCAAAAAATGGGCAGTGGAGCCCTTTTGTTATGCTATGTTACAAAGGGATTTCATCCTAAGTATTTCTAACTGTGCAAATTTCATTTGGGTATTTTGACTACGTATTGAAGAGGTGAGATTCTAAGAAATGTGAAATACCGAACAGCAGCTTTCAACTTGTAGCGGAATCCCAAGGTTCCCTGGGACACCTTAAGAGATTTAATAATAGGGCCTTCTCCCCCCACCTCACCCATAATTACCTAATTTTTCTTATATTATTTAAGGTCATGTTGTGTAATATTTCATTTAAAGAAAAGGTTTTAGTGCCTAAATAAAGTTTGTAAGAAGACTATCAGGAGAAACATTATATTAAAGGCAATTAGTATTTGTTAATGAGCTCTAAGATCTATTTTATTAGTGAACATTGAGTCATATTTTCTAAATACAAAGAATGCCTTTGTCAGATAACTGGTGTAACTCTCCCAATGGCACAGCTGTCTAGAATCATTCCTCTTACTTAGAAGAACCTCAAGTCCATTTTGAGGACTATAGAGTAAATTATTGCATTTTATGTATTATTGTTTCCTAAAATAATTTTTTGAAATTCTAAGCTAGGTGGACATGTTTTGCAAATTATATCACTCTGACTAGACTTTTGCTTTTCAGGGACAATATTATATTTAAATGGTTTTTGGATAAATGGGAACTCGTGAGATTGCACGACCTGATTTTTCTGCCCACTGTTACGTGAAACATCCCAGCTTCATTACTTTGTTCAGCATGTATGTCTACATGAGCAATACACAAAATTTCTAGACTTTTTATATACCTAGGCTTATGCTCAGTCCTCAAGGGAGAACCACACAATCAATGACTCAGGCAGTACAAAATGGTAAAAGTCAAATAATAAGAATAGCATTAAGGATTACATGAGCATCAGGTCTGCACAGCTTGAAGAAGGGAGAGATCAGAGTTCAGGGAGGAGTAATAAAGGGCAGCCCAGGATATACAGGACTTGGGCTGGGTGCCTGTACACACATGAGCACCACGGATGTTCCTGGCTTTTGGCCTGTGCACAGATGGACTTACTAAACTATCTCACTAGGAGCATATACATTTGTCAAAAACTCATAGAACTGTACACTAAAAAGGGTGAAATGTACTTACAACATATAAATTATACCTTAATTACAACAAGGAAAAAGCCCACCTATAAATGACTACCTGGAAGACAAGTTGACATTTTGTAAAAATTTCAAACACATGTACCCTATGATTTAGCAATTGCACTTTTAGGAACATATTTTCCAGTTATATCCAGAGTACAAAATTATCCATTATACCATTACAGCACTATTGGTAACATTTTAAAATCAAGTGTTTTTTAATAATAATTTAGTGAACACTAAATGATATAAGTCTAATATCAAACATTAAGGACTATAAATATCCAAAAATTGTTTCTGGAAGACAAGCCGGTTTGCACCAATCAGAATGTGAGTAAATGCAATCTCCCAGCCTATAATAAATTGATATAGTCCAGTTAAAAAAACACATGTCCCTACACAGTTGAATACAGACATAGCATTCTGTTCTCCAGGCTTAATCATTACTGACTGACCTTTCCTGGTATTGAAGTTCATGAAAATGCAAAAGTCTGCAGTCTTCATTATTCACAGCCATCCCACCTACCCACGACTGACATCAATGTGTCCTACGGTTCACAAACTCTATCCTGAGTACCTGTTGATCTAACTTTTCTGCATACATATTCTAGAAGGAAGGCAAGGTAGAGAGAAGAACCTATGGAAGAGCTCATATGCTTTAATAATCAGAGGGCAGAAATAAAAGTGGAGGCCTTTCTGTGAATAATGCAAATCACACAGGTCTTAAAGAAAAAGATTAATAAATTCTAAACTTCTATATGACAAAAAATTAAATAAAATATATTTACATCACTGTTAAAATGTCTTAAAAATAAAATAATGAAGTGGGGGAGGGGTGCTTACAATAGTTGTAGACAAAGGGCAAATACTTTTGTATTTGTTTACCTTTAATATTCAAAGAACTCCTGCCAGTACATAAAAAGGTAAATGAGAGGAAGGGAGAGAGATAGATAGTTAGAAACATCGATGGGAGAGAAACATCGACCAGCTGCCTCCTGCACATCTCCCACGGGGGATGTGCCCGCAACCCAGGTACATGCCCTTGACCGGAATCGAACCCGGGACCTTTCAGTCCGCAGGCCGACGCTCTATCCACTGAGCCAAAGTGGTCCTGGCGCTTTTGTATTTGTTTACCTTTAATATTCAAAGAACTCCTGCCAGTACATAAGAAGGTAAATAACCAAGGAGAAAATGCACAAGGTATTTACAGAAGGGCTAAAGATAACTAAGACAAGCATAATCTCAAATTCTAAAACTTTTTTTAAATTAAAATAATGAGAATTCAAAATGTGAAGGGGAAAATATCCCTCATAATCACAGTGTTGCTGAAGGCATCTGGTTCTTTCATTTATAACAATACATGCCGGAGTCCATTCATTGTCTTCACTAGCTGAGTTTAAACAGAGACCCCCAAAAGCTAGTAACCTTTGAAGTCCTAGCAAAGGTCAGAACTGCACCACCCAGTTAATCTAGGAACCACCCAGTTAATTTAGGTAATAATAGCTGAAGCATCTTCACCTTAGTTCCCTTAATTCCCATTTATTATTATGTAAATCCTTGCTGATGGGCTAGTCTGCCTGTTAATGGGGTCACCTGCCTAAAGGCTATGCTATGAGTGCATCCCAGATCAATAAAAGCTTGGTGAGACCTAAGCACAGGGAGGAAGTCCTTCGGGACTTGCCCGCCTGGTCCCCCAATATTGCAAAATTATCTCGTGTGTTTTTATTTCATTTGTTGTGCGGCTCTACTTTCAGATACCGAACCCTACTCCACGCAGAACGTGGAGGGAGTGTTACTCGACAAATACAGTATTTTGGAATGGCAAAGAAGCATTTTAGATATCTAAAATGTACATACCATTTCACTTCCAAGGAGTTATGCTTGAAAACTATTTACACAGCATAAATATATGTATAGATTTTCTAACAGCATCATTTGTAATGACCAAAAAAAAAAATCCTAAACATCTAAATGTCTATCAACAGAAGACTGGAAAAGGAAATTACCATGCCTCTATGCAAACGTAAGAACTGTACAGTCACTAAAAAGAATAGTTACTCTACGGGAAAAGATGCTGAAGATACACTGCTAACTGAAAGAAGCAGTTGCAAAAATAACGTGCAACCTGCCACTGCACATGGACCATTCCTGGGTGAAGTATAAGCCAAAGTGGGAACAAAATAAACATGCCCTTTTGATCAGAGTAATTGAACATGGGTTTGAAATGAAGGAAAGGGGATGACATTCATTTCCTATGTTATACATTTCTCTATTTTGTGTTTCTTTTTTTTTAAAATATATTTTATTGATTTTTTTACAGAGAAGGGAGAGGGATAGAGAGTTAGAAACATCGATCAGTTACCTCCTGCACACTCCGCACACTCCCCACTGGGGATGTGCCTGCAACCAAGGTACATGCCCGTGACCCGAATCGAACCCGGGACCCTTCAGTCCGCAGGCCGACGCTCTATCCGCTGAGCCAAACCGGTTAGGGCTGTTTCATTTCTTAATGTAAGAATGTTTTACTTTTGAAATCACAAAATAAAAATTTTGAGTATGCAGTTATAATATATGTTTTGCTAGGAAGATGTTTTTAAAATACAAAGCTTGGAATCTCTTTGTTACATTAAGCTACCCAGATCAGCCAAAATCTCCACCAAAATGTAACTGCTCACTAGATTTCATGGCCTCTTCCTATAGATGGCTTACAGGCACTCAGGATCTCAAGGCACGAGCATGCCACATTAAAACACAAATTCAACAATATGAACATTCTTAAGTTTGCCCTTTAAAAACAAAAGAGAAAACAGCCAAAACACTCATAAAAATGTAAAATCAAAAATGAGTAATTGATGAAATAAATTATTATCCCTTGCTTTTTTCTGCAATTCTAAAATTGGGAGAACCCTTTTAAACTTTACCCTAAAAGTTGTTTCTCCCAACTGAGAAAACCAATGTTTGAGTTTTGAGATACAGTATATGTTCTCATACTACTTGAAACCCAAAGTAAGTCATACCTTCTGAGAGCATTTCTGGAATGTCTGCTTGATATCTAGGTCCCACTCTGATCTCACCTTTGTCAGCTAATAGTGTTTTCACAGAGGGGTCATAGACCAATGAGTAGAAAAAGGTATCCTGGAAAAAAAACAAAACAGAAAATACCTAGGTAAACTTTTTATAAAACAAAAAATCCAATGTCATGATCATGAAACCACAAAACTTCAGAGAGTGTATAAAATTTCACTTTGGTGAACAAATTCATAAATGTTTAAGGAGAACACGAAGTTATTATCATTATGTAATACAGTATAATATTAAATCAAGCCAAAACAAATAGCTTAGAAAAATATATTATAAAGATTTATTATTTGTTCTAGTCTAAAAGAAAACCATTTCACTGCTCTAAAACAGGATTTTGAAAAGCTAGCAAAGTTAAGCCATGTAAGTCAAAGGTAAGATACCTAAAATCAAGTAATCATTTAAACATCCAAAGCCCACACTAAACAGTATGGATGCTTACATAGATAATAGGCACTCTTACTTTTTGAGTGTCCATCTACATTTTATTAAAATGTACACACACCCACATTAATTAAACTATAGAAGAGCTGAGCTTTTATACAGTTTACTGATTAAAGTGTCACACTGTAAACATTTAATTAAACATTTATTACTTATAATTCTATAGTTCTCCTTTAAATTCTGAAGCATTCATATGTATACATAGGTAGGTATATTAACATACATACATACCACCACCATCAGCACACCCACCTGACTATCCATGATCCCATAAAATGCAACAGAGCCCTAGTTACTGAGCCTAATGGATAAGAAGACCCAGCCACCAGTCCTTAGCTGAATTCTGGGTAACCAATGGAGGCCATCTGAACCAGTAAAGTCTTGTCCTTGCTTTCAGCTGTGATTCTGAGGGTCACCTACTGCATGAACCTCTCTATTATATCCTGGAAGGCCGGGCCCATCATTACCATCAGCACTTTACCAAGACCCAGCCAAGCAAACTGCAAATAAGAGTTAGATTATAAAGCTTTCTCCTTTCAAGGTCTTAGAGGCTGTGATAATGGGAAAGGAGAAAACCAAAAAGGAGATACTAAGAAATTCTGCAGTGTTTTAATCATGGTTCACTGTCAGAAAAATTAAACAGCAAAACTGTTCAAAAGTCACACCATTATGTGACATGTAAAAAAATGCTATCTAAGGAAAAGAAAAAAATCTGCAGATTATATAAACCTGCTTAATAGACTGAGGAGGGGCAGGGGGTAAGGACAGTCAGTACATAATCAGAGTTGTTGTTTATTTTTTAAGACAGGAGCAACAAAGAATGTTACTAGGTAACTAAAGCTGTTACCACTGGCTCACTATCAGCTTTAAAAGCAGAGGCGCTTTAGGTCACTTTCAGTCTGTAAAATGTTAGTATAGTATTCCATAAAACAAGATTTTGCGCCCTGGCCAGTGTGACTCAGTTAGTTGGGTGTCATCCTGTTCACCGAAAGGTTGCTGGTTCCATTTCCAGTCAGGGTGTGTATGGGAGGCAACCAATCGATGTTTCTCTCTCACATTGATGTTTCTCTCTCTCTCTCTCTAAAATCAATGAAATTGAGTAAAGATTTTTTTTAAAAAAATTTTTTGTTAAAGTTTCCTTAAACGCACTGCCACAGGTCAGTTCCTATCTCAAAGATTGATAAAAGACTAAGTGGTGAAAAAAACAAACACCTTTGCAAACTTCCACCTATTACAGTCCTTAGCATATCCAAATTGCTAACAATAACATAGAAGGCAAAAAATATCATTTTTTAAAAATCCACTCAACAGTCAAATATACCAATAAAATACACTGAAACATATTGAATGTTCCCTCCTTTTATTTCTGCTTCTGTGCTAATTTATAGCATTATCATTATCCATGTTATTATCAATCATTCTGTTGGACAGACATGTGAGTACCTTCCTTTCTAAATTTCATAAGCGTAAGTTATAAGGACTATTAGCCTTTTTTTCTGCCTTGAATATTTATTTCCTTTTAGTTTTCTTTATTAGAGTTCCTAAAACATAGTAGATCCACACATTTTAGCTATCCTTTTATTTATGTTTTCTTCATTTGAAATATGAGGACAATACTTGAGTATGATAAGAAATATGTCCCTTTAGTTCTTTTTTAAAAACACACACACACACACACACACACACACACGTATATAAAATAAAGATTTAGGGAAAACAAAAACACCATGAAACTATATATAAAGGTAAAATACTGAAGCAACACCAACAGTAAAATATTTTCCCCATAATACAAATGCTAATAAGTCACATACAACTGTGTATAAAGTGGAATACAGGTTATTCTGTTTATAAGCATTTCCTCCCTTCATTTGAAGCACATGCTCGAATTCAACCTGCTAAACATAGTTAAAATTTTTCTTGAAGTTTACAGAAAGAAATGAGTTTATTAGGGTTCCAGGAAAGAGAGCACACCACCAATGGTAAAATCTCATCTAAAAGAGTCTAAAAGAAAAGCTATTTATTAAAAACAATGATGGCAACAAAACAAACAAAAACCAGGAAAGAGGACCAATTACAGTAAAGTCATGTTTTCATAAGCCAAAATATTTCTTCTACCAGCTAAATCATGTGCTGTACTTTATACAGTTTTTCATTACCAACTGAAAAGAGAGAGACAGACACAGGGGTTTTGTCAACTCTTGCCTCAACCAGAAAAATCAAATTATCCAAATACATTTTAGTGATTATACTTTTACTATAATACTGCTATGGTGGTGCAATAATTTGGTACAAAAAGAAATCAATTCAAAAGATATGGCTTCATGCAAAAAATGGAAAAACACACAGAAAACAAGTGTAATTGTGAATTACCTCTTTATCGAGATATGACAATACTGACTCTGTCTCATTCAGAAGGGCAACACTGCATTTCCCCCTGTTGAAAGAGGGGAAAAGTGAATGAACAAATAAGCGTTTAAGAAAGGCTACTCCACCTTCACAGTGGTGACGTATGCAAAATACGGAATATTCAAAATGTAAAGTTGGCATTAAAAATCCAAATGGCAGTTAGGAATATACATAAATGTATATGTGTAAGACTGGCTTTACAATCCTGGTGTTGCATAATCTAAAACACAAGACTGTTTTTGTAGACATTTATAGAGAAGCTAACCTCTATAAATGGAAAGAACTGTTAGGCGGTAAAAGCTTATATCATAAAGCATTTTATAGTTATTTAATTATTCTAGAAAAAAGTACAATGAAAAACCTTCAGATTAAGTCAGTTACTGAGTCTATAATGAGTAAATATGAGGTGGTTTTATATTTTTCAAGCAAAGACATTATATAAACAATGAAAACCAGTATCTAATATAACCTCCAGATTTTTAAAGAAGCCACTGCATATGATAACCTAAAAATAATACACATTCATATCAGGATTAACTAACTTACCTTTATTGAAACTGCTCTAAAGATTAGTTAAAATTTAAACACTAGGAACTTCTACAGAGCAAGGGGCAAAATAACGATCTACAGGCTTGTGCGGACCTTGAAGTTTGATAGCAATTACCTTTGATCCTAAGTCCTGCGCATGAGTTTGGAAATTATGTCAATTTAAAAAGGCTGGTCTAGACTTGAGAAAAAGTAAGGTTATCCAGGCAGAGACATAAATTATGAGCACTTTTAAAATTATCCTCACTAGCTTGAAAAATTCAATATAGCTATATATGTGACAGGAGGATTTTTTAAAATATATTTTTATTTATTTCAGAGAGGAAGGGAGAGAGATAGGAACATCAACGATGCCCTAGCCCAGTGGTCGGCAAACCACGGCTCGCAAGCCACATGTGGCTCTTTGGCCCCTTGAGTGTGGCTCTTCCACAAAATACCACGTGTGGGTGTGCACATACAGTGCGATTGAAACTTCCTGGCCCATGCGCAGAAGTCGGTTTTTGGAAAGGAGATAGACGAAACAAGTATACAAGACGAGTGTGGATGGGAGAGTTGGAAGGGGTCGACCTCAGCGAATGTACCTCAATCAGATTGAGGACGTTTTTAGCAAAGGCCAGCTTAGGAGTACCCTAACTAACTTAATAACAATGTACCTACCTATATAGTTTAAGTTTTAAAAATTTGGCTCTCAAAAGAAATTTCAATCATTGTACTGTTGATATTTGGCTCTATTGACTGAGTTTGCCGACCACTGCCCTAGCCGGTTTGGCTCAGTGGACAGAGCGTTGGCCTGCGGACTGAAGGGTCCTGGGTTCGATTCCGGTCAAGGGCACATGCCCAGGTTGCAGGCTTGATCCCCAGTAGGGGGAGTGCAGGAGGCAGCCAATCAATGATTCTCTCTCATCATTGATGTTTCTATCTCTCTCTCCCTCTCCCTTCCTCTCTGAAATTAATAAAAATATTTTTTTAAAAAAAACACATCAATGATGAGAATCATCAATTGGCTGCCTCCTCCAGGACCCCCACAGGGCAACATGACCTCCTTATTCATAGATTGATGCTCAACCACTGACCCATGCTGGCCGGTCTTGCCAGAAGAATTCTGACTGTTCAAGTTATAGATATTCGTCAGGGCTCAGAAATATTTTCTAAATATGATGTATTTAATTTTCTAAACAAAAGTCACTACTTGCTCCTCACAAAATAACAAGCAAAAATAAACACATTACAGGGAATACAGTCCATAGTCTATATGTATAAAAGGCTAAGTGACTGTCCGACCTCTGGTACCTATCTTGCGCACTGACCACCAGGGGGCAGACAGTCAATGCAGGAGCTGCCGAGCTGCAGTGACTTGGCAGCGGTGGTTCTTGGGTGAAGCACCCTGAAACCAGAGAGGGAGCCTGATTCCTTGTGGGGCTGCATGATTCCACCTTCGGCCTGATTCCACCTTCAGCCATGGGTTATGCTGTTGCTGGGGCACTGTCGCTCCGAATCTGGTTTACTGCACACTTGCGTTTGCGTTCCACACCTTGTAGGACAGCAACTTTGCAGAGTGCCCTCTCGTACTATGGGACCCCTCGGGGGATGTCGGAGAGCCGGTTTCGTCTGATCCCCACAGGCCAGGCCAAGGGACCCCACCTGCTCACTCTGCAGATGCCCACGAGCTGCGGCACCGCCCCAGGTGCAGCTGGCTGGGAAGGAACTAAAGGAGGTTGGCTCCAGGGTGTGTCCGGCCTGTCTCGCCCAGTCCCGCCCATTGGACACCACCCGGGACCACCTGCATTAGTCCCTGCACCAGAGCCAGCACCTTGAGCCAGCTCCGCAAGCCAGCATCTCGAGCCCAAAGACCTGAGTGTGAGTTTTCTTTCTTTTTCTCCCCGCCTCACTCTGCAGATGCCCTTCGAGCCGCGGAGCCACCCCAGGAATTCTAATTAATTTCCTTTCAATGTGTACGAATCTGTGCACCGGGCCACTAGTATTATAATAACTATGCATGTCACCAGGTGAGTGGGGGTGGGGTGGGAGTATCACTTTGTAGTAAAGTATATGCCCTGGCCAGTGTGACTTGGTTGGTTGAAGCATTATCACATACACCAAGGGGTGGCAAGTTCAATTCCCAAGTTGAGGGTTCAATCCCTGGTTGGGGCTCCTGTGGGTTTCTCACATCTCTCTCTCTCCCCCCCCACACCCCCTCCTTCTGTCAAAAAAAAATCAATTAAAAAATTTTTAAGTATATGATTGTCTAATCACTATGGTATGCACCTGAAACCAATACAAAATAATACTGATGTAAACTGTATTAGAAAAAATTAAATTAAGAAAAACAATTCAAAGGAAAAAATACCACAAGCAAAGTAAAATACTAGCACATAGGTTAAAAAAAAATTAGTTTTCTAAACATTTTGTAATACTTCTATATTCCTCAAATTTAAGATCATTTTCTCCTCATAAAAACATCTTTTTCTGGTAATCACCTTAGGTTAATTAACATCACTTCAAAAGATATCTCTGAGAGCATATGATATCTCCATAATATCCAATCTCTATTTTGGTTACCAAGAGTTACAAAGGTTTTCTATTTTTCTAATATATTTTATTCATGCATATTACTGAAGCAGAAAAATTAACATTATTACTTCAGTACACATAACAACACTCAAAAGTCAACAATTACCTGACATGCTTTCACAAAGGACAAAATTATGAGTGGGAAATTGCTCTGTTGCTGTGAGCACATCTACAGCAGCCACAGATGTGCTCTGTAGCTGACCTGTGGCTATGTGCTCCCCCATGCAGCATGCTTAAATAATAAATGGGCTTTCCAAAAGTAAGCTCCATTTTTTTTGCCTCAATAACAGTTAACAAAGCAATATTTGTAACAATTAATACAATAAACTCATTTTTGTTAAGTTCTCAAAAGTTGAGTATTTTTTAATGGGAGGAGAAAAATCTGCTAAATGTTATTTTAATAGATACCACTTTCTTTAGCAGTCACTTGAATTTTAAGGGTTAACAGTCACTGGAAATTCATATAAACAATATAGCATACTTAAAGTCTCCTTCATACTGTCTGAAAGGACAAGAGAAGTTAAACTGAATAATTAAACCATTTTCATAATTATATTAGGAGATAGAAAACACTGGTTATACTGTTTTATAGGCACATGATTAAAAAACACCAATAGGGATACCTCAACCAATCTAAAATATAAATTATTTGGGGCAATATAGCTTTTATGCAAAAATGAAAGGATAATAGGTGATTTTAGTTTTTAAGTTTTCTTTACTATAGCTATATTATACTTTTCCCAAATTAAAAATGAAAATCCAACACAAAAATATTCATGTACACGTATTAACAGCTAACAAAGCAGGATGTTGAGTCAGAGTTATTTTATGAAGTATGATTATGTAATAAACACGTGCTACATGCCAAGAGTTGCCGATAAAAGTAGTTTAAATGAGATTTAAAGTGCTGTCTTCCTTTATGCTGAACAAATATTGGCACATAGATAAACACATGCTAAATTTTAAGCAAACCCCAAACTAAACAAATTATTATCAAACTCTAAATATGATTTATGCTAAATCTCAAGCAATGATCCTCATTGTTCTCTTCCATAATACTTTAATCCTTAAGGAATAAAGATACCCAAACATGATGATAAACTATATCAAAGACCATACACAAAGAAAGAACACTCTAGGCCCATATAATTATTCATACTGCTTTTCTACAGGGAACCATGCAAGAGCAAGGAATTTCCATGGAGATAACATACTACCCCACAGATCATTCAAAAAGTTCTTTAAAATATACTGTTTCAGAGACCGTGCTGGGATAGAGAGACATGTGAATAAACATAACACAACATGGTCCCATGTTTAATGGCAGGTGCTGATCAGCTTACTGTTTGCTTATCAGGATGTCCTGTATAATCCAAGAAATTCAAAAACCATATGTAAAAATGTGCATACAGGTTATATATTTCTTTTACCTAAAGATGTTACCAATCTGGATAAGTGAAAAAGAGGAAGTTTAAATTAGCATTCATTTCCATACTGCCTGAAGAGTTCCATTCAGTTTCATACAACTGCAGCTTGTGGAACGGTTCAGAACTTACCATCCCTGCTTGGAAAAAAATCCAGATTTCTTAGGCACACCAGACTGAATGAATCCAAGTATCTTGGGGAAGGCTCAGGAATCTACCTAATCAACAAGCATCACCAGTGACAAGGCACACTGAACTTGGGATACCACTACGACAGATGCAAGGTCTGCTTTAACCTTAGTCCTTGTTCAATGAAAGCCATTATTTCTTCATTTTTTAAAAAAAGCATTTTTCTCGCTGGCCTTATGAGTTTACATTTGCTCTGAAGACTTTTTCATATTAAAAAAACCATGCTAGCCGAAACCAGTTTGGCTCAGTGGATAGAGCGTCGGCCTGCAGACTGAAAGGTCCCAGGTTCAATTCTGGT